TGTGGAGGCTTTTTTGGTGGTGTTGGCGGTGGTGGTGGGGGGGGAGGAGGAGGAGGAGGAGGAGGAGGAGGAGGAAATGGTGGGCGTCTGGGCTCCACACTCTCTCTAGTCGAAGGAAGAAGTTTGACAGGGTCACCGCTGCGTTCGGGGATGACAGCAGTGCCGCAGCACTACGGCTCCACACTGCCCAGGCAGAGCCAGCCACTGGCCTATGGAGCTGATCCATACGGCCTGTACCAGAGGAGCGCCCTACCCCGCCCCGACAGCCTCATAGGTCAGTCTGACATCCAGTTAAGCATCATGCTGTTAGTTGGCTCATTAAAGGTGTCCACTGAAAATTGCACTGAGGATGTGATTACAATGCAGTAGTGTATGCACTAACAGTCTCAGTCTTCACTCATAGTTCATCTGTGGTTCTATTGACTGACCATCAAATTTGTAGATGAAAAATGAGTCTGTCTGAGCTGAACGTACAATGTGAATGTGTCATTCTCACAGGCACCAACTGAAGTGAATGGGAGAGTAATGAAATATGTGTTAGACTGGCGTTAGTGTGTTTGCAGCTTAGAGGAAAAGTTTGACATTTTGGTAAATATTGGCATACCTGCCAAAAGTTAGAACAGAAGACTGATATCACTCATGTCTGTACCTGCAGCAGCTGGTTAGCTTAGCTTAGCACATTAATGTGGGTTTGATATTATTTTACACACAGACATGGAAGATGAGTGACAGGTAGAGTCTTTCAGTAGAGTCAGTGGAAATATTAATGGTTAGAGAGGTCCGTTTGTGCCCTGGAGAATCACCCAGTCACATCCAACCAGGTCAAAATCTGGGCCAGAAAAACTCAAGTTAACTTTCCAGTGCTGCAATAAAAGATGAACGGAATGTGTATGACCGAGTGCGTGTGAAATGTTTCAGCAACTCTGTGTGTCATATAAACAAAGCCGTGCTCCACAGCCTGTGTTGGCTTAATAACCTTTTGTTGACCATGGAAAGTTGACTGAGCAGCACTGATTACAACATGTTCACTGTGCTGGAGCTCTGCAGACTTTCCTGTATCTCGGTGAAGCAGGTGAGACTCGTTAAAAATCTGCATGTTGAACACTAACTTTGAGGCACGCTCTGCAGGTGATTTTATCTTGTATTCAGGCTTAGGGAGCTCATTTCCTGGAGTTTTTAGTCGCATCATCTTCCAGTAGTGGCAGATAATGCTGCTGGGTTTGATGAAATTTTATTTGATGCATGTCAGTTTGAAAATAAGAAGGTAATCTTTTGAGGAGGAGGATTTCACTCGTGCCAGGTTGATGTTGAAGCTCAGATGTAATTTTAATCATGTTGGTTGTGGTGATGCATTTTTGTTGGAAAACAGGCAGCAACACATACAGTATGTATGGGCACAATACAGTGGCTCACAGTTGCCTGTTGTAATGGGCCTCCACTAAAACATCTCTGTTATGATGGCTGGGAGAAGAAGCCATGTTAGCAGCTATTGTCTTAATATGACGTGGTCGATAGGGATCAAAAGAAAGTCCAGTCAGACAGCACTGAGATATGGTTCTATACATAACCTTTTTTCGGTTATTGACAATTACTCCTTTTCCTTTCCTTCCTTGTACCTTTTCCTCTTCTAACTGCTCAAAGCATATAGCTAAACCTAAACAGTTCCCTTAGCTGTTTAGGAGCTTAAACACTCTTTGTTTTGGTGTTTTCTTTAATCATAAAGACAAGGCAGGTTTTTCCTGAATAGCGTCTTTGAGGAGCAAAGCAGTGCAAAGTGCTTTACATAAGACATAAAGGCATTAAGACAAGATATAAGAAAGATATCAGAAGCTGTTAAGATGGCTGAGGCTGGCTGAGAAGTGGGATTATTTCTGTAGTGCTGCCAGCCTGTTCAGTGAGCCAGATGCTTTTGAGGACTCTTTGGAGCAAATTTCACAGCAAACTGTGGCTTTGAACTGGATGTATTAAACATTGTCATCAGGGTCTTGGTGATGTTAAACATTTCTTCTTCAAAATAAGGTTGAAGACATCAGAACATGAAAAAGCCAATTCTGTTGCAGCATTTCCTCTTGTTATCTGATGATCAGCAGCGTTGATGATACACACTGCTCTGTAGCTGCTGGAGGGCTTAGTGTGAAGAAGTGCCACACAGCTGTACTCCTCTGTCCTGCCCTCTGTCACTTCACTAAGATGCTCCCACTGACCCATATAGGGCTGTTTCTATCACAAAGCCTCATGGAGCATCAGCCTGTGATTATCGGCAGCACTGGAAGCGTTTATTATGCTGTGATCAGAGTGTGCCTGTTTTAGTCCATTTTCACATGGCATGGGTCCATGTCTGTTTCTGCACAGACAGTGTGTGTCCATTAAGAGTGTTTGTGTGGATGTACTGTAAGTGACACACATATGTGCTTTTGTGCCTTTTGTGCTGCGTTTCTGCATGTGTGAAAAGATGATGGTAGAGGCAATGGTTGTGTGTGTGTGTGTGTGTGTGTGTGCATGTGTGTAGGAGGCAGAGTCAGTGAACTAAATAAAATGCCTCCTATTTTCTAGCTGAGTGATTTTCATCCTGCAGTGCTGCTAAATGGCCTAATATGGTGCCTAAGTCCTTATTCCCAGTTATCCTGCAGATCCAGCATAATTCCATATTACATGAGGGAGATGGGCAGTAGATGGATACACAAGATTAGGCTATTACTGATCAGCAGTACTCCAGTCTTAGGTGGTGAAACCTGGTGAGCAGCCAAAACATGGAGCATAAGCTGTGGTGTGAGTTTTGTTTTTTGTTGAACTGATTACAGTGTCACCAGCATGGTAGAGGTTTGGAACTGCAAGAGTCTAGGCTCACATTTTGAAACAGGGGACTAGAAACCACAGAACACAGTGGAATGTAAGAAAGAGTGAATCCATTGATACTGTGTCTGTGTAGTACGGCAGGGATCCCCACCGGGATACTTTAACAGCACTGTACTGTTGCTAAGGTATGTGAAGGGACTGTAGAGTAGCTCCACTAACATGAACAGGCTTTAAAAATATATCTCGACATAAGGAGTCATCTATAGCACCTGACATTCCAGATGAGAGTGTGCGAAAACTAGATAGCAAGCATACATGCAAGTTTTAACAGTTGATATGGATAGCTGTAAACTGAGTGGATTAAGAAGGAGAGTGACGACACTTCTGTTGACTCCTTTACGGTAATGAGGTCATGCAGATCATGGGAACATTGAAGAGCTCCAAACACTAGGAGCAGCCACAGAGTTACACTGACATGGCTGCTATCTTCTAAAGTAAGAAGTTGAAATCAAATTACAGTAATTACAGTTGTGATATGTCAAAAGGTTTATACATGATTTACAACCTTTTGACTGTCTCCCTCAAATACTGTGTCAATTTAACAGATGAGGTACCTACTAGCTAGCTAGCTAAATGATCTGAGCTCTTTACAATAACACGACACAGAATTAGTTTGCATGGTCGTACAAGTCTATAAAGTAGTCATTTGCTGATAAATCCTGCTGTTCCCTACAGAAAATAAAGAATCTGAATGGACTGGTTTGAGGCTACATGAGTCATGTGATCTGCTGCTGTTTTTGACTTCTCACTGTGGCAACTCTTCTGTCTTAAGGGCTCTGGCTGTAATAAATTAACAGTTCAAATATTTAGGTAAAAGTGACAAATGGTTGAAACAGTTAGTTAAATGTAATGGAAAAATAACATAGAGAAATTGTTTGGAATATTTACCCTGTAGCTAAAAATTGTGGATGTAATGGATAAACAGATGAAACAGTCAACTGAAAGCAGTGGATAAATGGTTGGAATAACTAGCAAAAAGTTAAAGTTCTGCTTCAGAAAAGTGATTGAAATAGTTACAACAAATAAATGGCTGAAATATTTAACTATAGGTAGTGAATAAATGGTTGAACCAGCTAGGTGGTTGAAATATCCAAGTTCTGTTAGAGGAATGCCAGCTTGACCAAAATAAACACTGAAGTTCACTTCTATGGAAAAACTGTTACACTTTTAAATAATTAATACCATTGCACTCAGCTGAAAAATCAATCAACCACTCTAACAGTGAATGAGATTGAGTTCAAAGCACAATTCAAGCAGTTGGTAGCTTAAGCATCCTCTAACCTGAAGGCCACACTTTTGGTTTGTGTCCTTCAAGCTGAATAGCTCTTTTAAAAAGCTGCTTCAGCAAGACTGTCACATCAAATGCACATTTTATTTTCTTCTAAGGGAATGTTCTTTGCGATAAGAGACCAGCGTTTCTATTCGCAAAGACATTTATGTAAATCAAGAAAAGAGAACTGCAGATGCAAATAGCAACTCCATCGCCAGCTCCAAGTGCAAATTGTGTGCTTCAGTGGTGGGACTGATCCACCAAGGCTGCCCCCTTGTGCCCTAAAACCTCTTTATAATTGGAGCGTCTTTGAGCTGATCTGCTCTGAGATTGGAGGATGGAAAAATCCTCTGCTCCGCTTGTTTGACTTTGTGATGATGACGCCTGCAGCTGATCATCATTGATCAAAGTGTCCATGCATTTTATAAAGCCAACAACAGTTTAGATGAGTTGGCATTATGAAATACAGTCATGAGCACAATGCTGATTTGCATGCCCTCACCTCCTAGGATTTATGTATAGCCAAGTAGAAAGGGGCTTTATTCAGTAGTTACTGATGTTATAATAGCTTCCAAACAGCTTTCTTCACTTGTGTTTCTGCTGACAAAAAACATTGGCTTCTGTCCCATATTTCCTTTAATTTTGTTTTGAAAAAAGTGCAGTGTAAATATTTATGTACTTCACTGTGTACCTGCAGGGCTCCACAGCTCATACACGGGTCATGCAGGGCAGATAGATCCAGAGCTGAGGGCGGCGTTGTCTCCAGACTGCCACATGACGCCGGTTTTTGATGAGCTTTCTTTTCACAGCCCCCTGTACCACAGCCCCACTCACGACCCCCAGGGCTCCCTCTACAGGAGGAGCACAGGTATTGTACTGCCACAAACGGTATATTCACTGTGAGTTTCAGCTGCTTTATCATCACATCAACCAACCCAGTATTTCCCAGCAGTGTCCCCCTGAGGAGCCCCGGTCCCCAGGTCAAGAAGCCGGGCTCAGCTTCACATCTGCTCACAAGATTATTTCTTTAAAGTCTGTGGCAGAAATCACGGTTTACAGGCTGAGGAACTGTTGTTATTATTTCTCCCCTGAGGTCAGAACATAATTAGGCTGAAAGCTTTCATGTACTCTGCTGCTTTTTAATTGAAGCCTTTGTAGAATGATTTAGAGCTGAGAGCTCTGTAGAGTTTGATAGTGGAGGATCTAAGGAGCCATTTTAGTTTTGTTTGGTCAAGATTTAAACTAGGTATGTAACATGATATCAAATTCTCCTTTATGTGACCATGGATTTGTTCTGATCTTGTAGAGTGGTACAAACGATTGCCACTTTTGAGGGCTTTTTTTTGGACAGCATGATCCTCCAGAAAACATAGCCTGATAAAATTTTTGCAAAATGATGTCTTGGTTAGGTGTGGGGACCCTTCCTCGGACAACAAGCCATTGCGGCACTCTGCCGTACCAAAGAAGCAGTTATGGGCTGAGCTCTGCAGCTCTGTATGTCGACTCCTACAGGGTGTCCGGTGAGCCCATCTACTCCCACCGCCACTCGGGACTGGTGGACCGGGATGCAACACGCACCCCGTCCATTGAGAGCATTCATAAGGACCCCAGGTACTCACACACAGTCAGCATTTGGTTCCAGTTCAACCCATCTGGGCTCTGTGCAGGCCCATCAGGCTCCTCTCCACCAACTGGAAAACAGTTTCTGCAAAGTAAACCCAACCTTTTCAAAGTTTTCTCTTTGCTTCCCTTCAGGGAGTTTGCTTGGCGTGACCCTGAGCTGCCGGAGGTCATCCACATGCTGCAGCATCACTTCCCCTCTGTCCAAGCCAATGCCGCCGCCTACCTGCAGCACTTGTGTTATGGAGACAACAGGGTCAAGGTGGAGGTAAGGCAAGGGGACGTGCTGGACAGCCCTTTGCAAAATATAGAGATTAATTAATTAATTAATTAAGTATACATTATGCATAGTGTATTTTATGGCATTAATATTATAATCTAACACTTTGATGAGATGTTAGAAAATAGAATTAACACACTGTTATCATACCTAAAACAGAAAGAAAATAATAACTGTATTAAAAATGTACGTTATACAATATCTATGGTATTGTGCACGTCTTAGGTCACCATTAGATTTGTTGTTTTAGCATTGTTATGATTACAATGTATATATTTATTTAACATAATACAACTAGAAAATATAGGGAATATGTTCATGTAAAAAAAAAGAAAATATGAAGAATCTGGAGAGGTTGCGGACAAAAGCAGGAGTGGAAGACCAAGACAGCTGTCAGAATCTGATGAGAAGTTTCTCAGAGTTTCTTCTTTGAGAGGGCAGAGGAAATCCAACAAGGGCTGGAGTGAAGATCATTGGAGAAGAGGATTACGGAGTGATGAATCGAAGTTTGACATTTTCGAGTCTGGTCGTCGATACTATGTGTGAAGAAAACTTGGAAAGGTGGATGAATGAGTGCTCGCAGCCTTCAGTGAAACATGGTGGAGGGTCTGTCATGGTTTCAAGTCTTCAAGACCGTCTCTCCAAAAGAATTCAAGCTGTGCTAAGTGCAAAGAGCGGTCACACTAAATACTGACATTGGACTGTAGAAGCCATTTTGTTCTGAAAATGCAGTTTATTAATATTGTGAACATATTTCCTTATTGTCTAGTTATATTTTATATAACTGATATAAATTGATTAACGTGTTTATCTTTCACATTACCTCAGATAGTTTCTACTGTATCTCTGCCTAAAAGTGTATTCTGAACTTACACAGTTTCAAATTTAACTTTCAATTGGAGATGTTGGTTGCCAAACTCTGAGCTACGGCACCATCTGCTCCATCAAAACTTTAAATAATGTTCATGCCAATTGTGCCGGCGCTCCGACACGCTGCCTCTTTACTCTGCTTCACATGCAGTAAATAACTCCAACTCAGTGGTGGAGCTTCATGTGAGACCCATCTTAGTGCTGTTTAGTTTGTTTGGTGATGAGCTTTCAATTAGCCTTCGGAGCAGCCTGGACACATGCCTGCTGATTTAGCTGGGAACAAATGTTTTCAGAGACGGAGTCAAGACAGAATCTGCTGCTTCTCCTCCGGTTTAGTTCGAGTTGACACAAGAAGGTTGTGAACATACCACAGTGACAGTTTGTATGTTTCAGTCCAAGTTCATTTCAAATTTTTTTTAGAAAATCATGGCTACAGGAAATTAGTGCAAGTTTTTTTTGAATAGTTTGAATTGATTTACTTTTTACTTTGTTGTAAAGAAAAATCTCAAATGAAAAAGATCACTAAGGGGCATAAATAACTAATAATGAATAAAAACACTCCAATGAACAAATATACAAGTACAAATGTTGCTAGATAAGACAGGAATGATTTATTATGCAAAAATAAAATAGGAAAACTCTTAACAAATTGTAACCAATCAGTTGATACAAAGAAGGCACATGATTAACAATCAGAGGAAGTTATCAGAAAATATTTCTCATTCAGTTTGCCTATTATATCCTACCTTGAATGTATTTATCAATAACACTAATCCTATTCATGTGCTTCCTGTGAATTTAAAGAGTCAAACTATAACTGGTGACAGTGCCAGTTATCCTTTTAAAGTTGAAAGGAATAAATCCAAAACTCCCTCAGACCGCACAGAAATAGCTTTTTTTATTCCTCTCTATTGATTAAATTTCTTTCCTGTGATTTGAAAATGGAGGAGGGAAAGCTCTCTAGTGATTATGCAGCTTTCTGTCTTCAGACAGTAGCAGCTGGTTGGAAAGATAAACTGAGACTCCGTTCATAGGATCTTAAACAATAAATGGTTCAGTAATTTGGGCCAGCTGGTGTCCAACTTTATAATAATTGGACAGAGCTTTGATTTGCATGGTTTTACAAAGATAAATATATAGTTTTTGTGTTAATGATGAGGACAGATGACAGGAGGCTAAAGAGTAACATAACATCTGGCTAAAATGTGGTCATTGAAAACATTTTCTGCTGCTGTTAAGTTGCTCTTTAATGAGTATGTAGTTAGTGCAAGTAAGTTAATCTGTGTCTGTGATTGGCCCCTGGGATGCAGGTGTGTCACTTGGGAGGGATCCAGCACCTGGTAGACCTGCTGGATAACAAGGTGGCCGAGGTGCAGAAGAGCGCCTGTGGGGCCCTGAGGAACCTGGTGTACGGCAAGGCCACCGACAACAACAAGGTGGCACTGAGGAACTGCGGTGGCGTGCCCGCCCTGCTGCGCCTCCTCCGGAAAACAACCGACAATGAAGTTCGTGAACTGGTCACCGGTACGTCTAGTCAGGTTTAGTTAAAGGTGCCCAAGAGTTATGTTTATATTCAGTGTCTTGTTTGTGTCCCCTGACAAAGGTATTGAGAGCATTTTTCCTCTTAAAATATTTATTTACAATTTAAATATATTTAGATATTATTTACTTTTATGTTTATTTGGGCGGCACAGTGGTGCAGTGGTTAACACTGTTGCCTTTTTCTCCGGGTACTCCGGTTTCCTCCCACAGTCCAAAGACATGCAGCTGAGGTTGATTGGTGACTCTAAATTAGGGCATCCAGCGTAAAACATGCCAGGTTTAGGATGCACATCATCAGTTGGGCAGCAGCTGATGAACATTTACATTTATGTTTATTTATTTACTAGATGTCGTCTTCATCTAAAATACATTTGTTGATGTGTTGATACATGTTTTACTGCCATAACTGTTGTTTAGCGCATTAGCCAACTGCAGGAATATCTATCAAGTCAAACTAAATAAAACATGGAGCTATAAGAGGAGGTGATATAAAGACTGATAGATGTGGAGCTGTTCATAGAAACATTAGCCCATAGTTCTAGTGGTAGTCAAAATATGTTCCTTCATGTTAGTGCTGTAGTTCAAGAGGAAATAGCAGAAATGCTGTAAAAAAGAAGAAGAAGAAGAAGAAGAGATCCACGGCACTGTACAAATGAACTACATTGCAACTGGATTGCCAAACATCCTATCAGGTTGAACTTGAAATGGGTGACAGGTTTTTGTGAAATCCTCCCAACAGTCAAACAGTGAAATATGACCTCCCAGGCAGAAATAATAACCCAAAATCACAAGGTCAGTTAAAAAATGGGAGCTTCTACAAGTCCCCACTTTTGGGTAGTTGTCAACTCAGGTTCGTGTTTTTATTGCTAAAGGGATAAATTCAAGTGAAAGCAGCCATTGTTTTGACAAAAACGGTTTCCAAATGCAAAATATGACACATTAATATCCCACTGTGGCGTGTGTGGGTGTCAGCCTGCTAACGAGGTTTAATGGCTGCCTGGCCAGCCGGCCGGTTTGTCAGCTGAGCATCAGTCTGTGCCGTCGCCTGACTGGCTGGCGGTGTATTAACCTGTGTATCAGCTGTTCTGTGGGAGGTGAGAGCAGCAACTGCTTAAACACTCGGAGTGCAGTGTTGATAGAACAGATCTCGGTGCAGTCCTCAGGACAGATGCTAAGACAATGTGCGTTGGAAACAGGATGCTGGTGACAGCTCTGCAGACACACCACACATACTGCTTAAAACCAGGATATGTGGAGCTGTTCAATGACTCAGATTCTTGAGACAACACAGATGAGAGTCCTCATTCTGTTATATAGCCTTGTGAAGGCCAGAATTTTGATTATTGAAGCTGCACTTTGGTAATCAGTTTTCTTCTTTCAATCTAATATTTTCTGGTCTTGATCTGCTCAAAGCACAAAAGTATCTCAGAGCAGTTTTTTCCCATTGCTACGTGCCTCTCCCAGTCTTCCCTACCTCACTGCAACTATCCCATAATTGTTGCTCCACTCTTTTACACTAGCATTTTTAAACTGTTGACATAAATGTAATTTCACTTATGTCTGAACAATGCAGCTTGCTGAGTGGAGCGAGGCTCTGACACTGATTAACGCCTATGCTAAAAATAAGTGCCAATGTGCCAGTGCTGTGGAAGCTTCTCTGAAATGTTGTTGTATTTGTGTTTTGTTTTGGTTTTATTTTGCCCTCATTGTCAAATATTTTGAGGTTTTATTACATATAAGAAAGAAAGTGTTTTATATGAACAGCAAAATAGTGAGAGATATTAAAGAGACTCATCTGACTCTCTACCAGTGAGCAGATAAAGATATTCATTGGCTCCCTGCACCCTTAGGCGTCCTGTGGAACCTCTCCTCGTGTGATGCGGTGAAGATGACCATCATCCGCGATGCTCTGACCACACTGACCAACACGGTGGTCATCCCCCACTCAGGCTGGAGCAGCATCTCGCACCGTGAAGAACACAAAGTCAAGTTTCAGTCGTCCATCCTGCTGCGCAACACCACAGGGTGTCTGAGGTGAGGAACACATCACTCGCTCCACCTGCCGATGAGTTCTGAGAAGAGCTTTGTTCAGTTTGGTATTTGGAGTTTTGTTCAGATGTAGCACATTGCCTAAACCTGTTGAGTTACAAGGCTTGTTAAATTGATTCTCGTCTGAAATGCAAAGACGACTTTTGGATTTATTGGTCGTGTGCTTTTAATTCTGTTAAAGTGACTGACAGGGTTAAAAAAACTTCCAGGTGGAGTTTGACAAAAGCACCTGTTGCATTTAACTGATTGCTGCACTTTGCAGTACTGGACTCTGATTGGCCAACAGACTGAAAAGACTGGATTCTGCAAATGAATTTGATTTGTTGGTTCAATTTAAATGGCTCCGACCATGGTACAGAGGCTGCTGCTGATCTGTGTCATCTCATACAGCAGCTTTGATGTGACTGTACACAGAAGCCTCCAGTGTTTCTCTGCACTCACACTGACTGAGCCTGATGGTATAGTAATGCACTGTGGGAGTTCTGTGCTGTTGTGCATTCTTCTCATATCAGCTCTCCATTAGCAGTGGCAGAAGGTTGCTATTGGAGGATCAGCTTCCTCTTTTACTGTATCTGGGCAGGTTTTAATCCACCCTGTGGGGGAATCCGCACACTGCACCTCAAGTCTGAATTAATGTGTGGCTCTGTGTGTCTGTGTGTGAGGAACCTGAGCTCAGCAGGGGAGGAGGCGAGGAGTCAGCTGCGTTGCTGTGAAGGTCTGGTCGACTCACTGCTTCACGTCCTCAAAGCCTGCGTGAACACCTCCGACTATGACAGCAAGGTACAGCAAAAGTACACACATACACATTTGTTGTTGTCTTCATTTGTCACAGTTTATTCCTTGGAGACTTGACCCTAACCTTCACCTAACACCTAACACTGTCCAGATCGTTAACCCTAAAATGTAAAGACAATATTTTGGCACAGCATCACCATGGGGGTACACAAGAAATATCAAAGTCTGCCATGCAACAAACTTTGCACAAAAGATAAACCCTTTGCAATTCAGAAAATCCTTCAACTTTCCTGTAGCACCACTCACTGCTAAAAAAAAAATCATCTTTGTGTATACCATACTGTATCTCACTGCATCAGATGATGGTTCCTGGATGATCAATCCTACTGAATATGGTGACTTTATTGCCTTTCTTCTAGTGCTACCTTTAGGCAAACACCTTCAGCTATATGAAGCAAAATTACTATGATATAATCATCTGCTATATTGGTTAATGTTCTAACGCAAGAATTTCCTTCAGCTGCATAATGTAATAGGTTGTTTGCAGAGATATTACAACTTTTATATTTCTCTCTGCCACATCAGATCGTGGAGAACAGCGTCTGCACCCTGAGGAACCTCTCGTACCGGCTGGAGGTGGAGATGCCCTCCTCCCGTCTCCTCGGCAACCAGGAGCTAGACACCCTGCTGGGCTTCTCCTCTCCAGCCAAGGAGCTGGACTACCTCTGCTGGGGCAAGAGGAGACGCAGCCGGAAGAGGGGCGGCTGGCCCGACGACAAAGTATGAACACAGAGGGTGGGGTTTCCCAAGAGATGTTGAGGGCCTGGAAAATGTTTAAAACAGCGTATAAGATTTTCAGGCCTGCTTGTAGAAGTTTTGGAACTGGAAAAAAGGATGAGAATGTATGAAAACAACATTTGTTTGGCAACACTAAAAGTACAGTACTTGACAAGTATATGATGTCGTTCAGTGTCTGCTTGGTCCAATCAGCTTGTTTTTTGAGACACAGAGCCACTTATTATTTAAGGCATGTGACTCGCCCTCATGTAATGGACAGTTGGACAGATATTATTAGGTGTCCTCTGGTTCTGGCTTTTACCTGCCCTGGCAAGCTGACATCTGTTAACATAGTCTGGTTGTTGATTGGTGTATCCCGTGCAGTGGGACGGCATCGGCCCAATCCCAGGTTTCTCCCAGCCTTTGAGAGGAGCAGAGCTGCTGTGGCACCCGATGGTGGTGAAGCCGTACCTCAACCTGCTGGCTGAAAGCTCCAATCCTGCCACGTTGGAGGGCGCTGCTGGGTCACTGCAAAACCTCTCTGCTGGAAACTGGAAGGTAGGACTAAGATTTCATACTGTAGATTCTTTTCTGCAGAAGAAGACATGTTCAGGAGTACCACAAAAATTGAAATGAAGCGATTTAAGTAATAAAACCGCACATGTGTCTCTAGTTCTCAGCCTACATCCGAGCGGCAGTGCGGAAGGAGAAAGGTCTGCCCATCCTGGTGGAGCTCCTGAGGATGGACAACGACCGGGTTGTCTGCTCTGTCGCCACCGCCCTCCGCAACATGGCACTGGACAGCCGCAACAAGGAGCTGATAGGTCTGAGCATACGCTGATCAATAAGACAGACACACACAAACTGTGTAAAGAAAATCTTCACACCTCAGTTAGGAATATCAGCTGCTTGTCAAAATAGGTTTTGCATTTTGGACCACAAGTCTATTCACTCATTCAGGTTGAATTTTAACAGAGTGATTACACATCGCCCCCTTGTGGATAACAACTGCAAACAAATGATACACAGCTGCCACACAAAATAAACAAACAAAATGAAACTCCTGGTGATGGTGAACACTTGGATTTGCCAAATGAGCTGAAACCTAATAAGAAAGGATGATTTACTGTAAAATTTACTGTAACCATAATTTTTACAGTATCACATGCCTACAAGGTTAAGATATTTCTATAAGTCTGAGGTATTTTCTGCGTCTCCTCCTGCAGGAAAGTATGCCATGCGAGATCTGGTGAACCGGCTGCCTGGCAGCTGCCCTTGGGTGCGGTCAGACGATAGGGTGGCTTCAGTCTGCTGCACACTGCACGAAGTCCCCAGCCGCAACATGGAGAACGCCAAAGCTTTAGCCGACAGCGGAGGCATCATGAAGCTGGTGGACATCAGCAAAGGACGAGGGAAAGGGTATGAAAGATTTCACGGTTCACTCAGACTGGGAAAACTGTCTTTGTACTTTTTTAATCAATTATATTTTACTTTCAAGAGAGTTTTTTTAAACTTGTGATATATTTTCTTATTTCTTGGTGAATTCTTAAACCTTTATTACCTCCAATAAGAAAAAATAAATCATCCAGGAATAGTTTTCACTAACAAGTACATTTATATTACTATTTTAAAGTCTTTCACTGGTTTTACAATTTTGTGCTGTGGTGTCACAGCTATTCCATGAAGGTTGTGAAGGCAGCAGCTCAGGTGTTAAACACTCTGTGGCAGTACAGGGAGCTGAGGAGTCTCTATAAACAGGTCAGCACCAGCAGACACATACACATTCTCTTAAATATGGCTTAACTTTTGGACTATTTTTTATAACTATACAGTATGTTTTTTCACACCTCTAAATGCACACAACACAATCAACAACAGAATATTATACAAAAGCATCACTCATTTAGTTCATATTGTCCTGTTGCTGAGTGAAATGATGTGAACTTTGTGCAGGATGGTTGGAACTACAGCCACTTCATCACTCCCATCTCCACTCTGGAGCGAGACCGCTACCGTTCACATCCGACCCTGCCCACCAGCCCTCTGCAGATGTCCCCTGTCATCCAATCAGGTGAGAGATTTGATGAGTGAGGACAAACTGACATCTAGAAGACAATTTGGAAAACCTTATGAAGACATAGTCTTCTATCTCGTGGGTAAGGTGTTTCTGTTATTCCTAAGGTGGTAGTGCAACATCCTCCCCAGCGATGCTTGGTATAAGAAGACACAGTTCAAACTATCAGAGGGCACAGTCATCTATGCAACTCGACACGTATTACGGAGAGAACAGTTTACACAAACAGCAGTACACAGGTTTGTATTGATTAGCTTGTACTATGGGAGCTGTGCTACCGCTCAGTTTTCAAACACCTCCGTTTTTCCCAGTTGTTATCAATTTAATCCAACAGTCTAATATAGCTGGGATAGGGAGCCTTGTTGCAGAAGTTCCCACAGATGCTTTTGCTTTCACTGTTCACCTGGAAACTCTGGACAGTGTGCTGCCATTCCTCCATGTGAAGCCAACCGTCTTGTTCTTCTACACAGCCTGAAAATGAATTTTGGCTTATTATCCTGCTATAGGACTTCTGACATCCTTTCTTAATGGCCTTTTAATAAATAAAGCTTCAGGGGATATAGTAAGCACTGCAGGAAACCTGCCTTTGTACTGAGAGAATTTGTTGTTGTAAGTCAACACAAGTTGGGACACCCGTAGATTTGCATCAGTTTTCAAGGCTTCATTTACTTCCACTGCTGCAGAAAAGATGGAACTTAACCTATTGACCCCTGTTTATTGTGACATTTATTTTACATGCTTTTTAAAAGTGTTTGGTGACTTTTTTCTACCTCTGGCAGTTTAAATCTTAGCTTTGTGCCATATAAGGCTCTTCACTGTACTTGAACTCTTTGTATGTTAAATAAAAACTGGAAAAACGGGGGTGTTCTGAAACTTTTGACTGGTATGGCTGTTGAAGAGTCATCTTTGTAGATATATTTTCCTCCTATCTCTGCTATTGAATTCTCTACTTCAGGGTCTGAGAAGAAACCCCCGTATTACATTGGGACATACTTGTCCCAGTCAGGAGAGGATTTGACGAGGTCCCAGGTAAGAAAATTCAGCCATAAACCAGTATGCAGTCATGTGACAATGAAATAGTAACAGACTAAAAGATTAGTTTATGAATCAAAAAAATAATTAGAATTCCTCAGTCAATAATCACTTCATTGCTCCTGTCCCAGCACCCAGAGCCGTTCTACGATGAACCCGACAGGAAAAACTACAACAGCTACAGAATGTACCTGTCTTCCCCACAAGGCTTTGGAGAGGAGCACTACGAGGACGAACCGGTTCACCTGACCCCATCATCCCCTGACGGCTACACCAGCCAGTCACTCCAATTCAAAGCCAACACCAACTACGTGGACTTCTACTCCACCACACGGAGGCCTTCAAACAGGGCGAATAAGTTCACCGGCTCCCCTGACTCCTGGGTGTGAAAACAAATCGGACCACACGTATGTTTCTGTGGATGTTTGGGTGGGGAGTGCACACAGGTGGGTGCGCTGTATGAGTGTGTGGAAGGTTGAGGATGCATGTGAGTGTGTGTGAATCTGTCTTGAAACTGTACTGAATGACCAGGGCTCTGTTCGCTATGGGCAGCTTTTGACTAAGTTAGACTATGTTCACAATGATGCAGATAAATAAGAACCATGCCTTTATTTTGAAATTCTGTTACATTAACATTCTTCCTTGTGTATGGTGTTGTCCAGAGCCACTGGCTAAAAGGTGTTTCCGCTTATTCACCTGTTTATTGCAATTTGGAAAACAGGTTGTTACAGCTGAGGTGGAACAGTTTGTGTTATCAGTAAAAATAAAATGTGACAGAGTGCAAAGGAGATGATGAATAGACGTCTCTGAAGCTACCACCATGTGCAGCGGTGAGACTGTAATGTGCCTCAGATTAATACATAAAACAAATAATGTCATATTTCTTTGATGTTTGCCACATCATTTTTATCATGGATGTTCAAGGCCATTCACACCTTGACTCACTTTAACAACCGTGACATAACAACCCTTAACAACTCTCAGAGGTGAGTGATGTCACAGTGGTATAAAAAAATGGCAGATGCCATATTGCTGTCAAGCATTAACCATCTTTTTTATCTGCTTTATTATGGACATACCAAGTGAACACCCAAATGGACTTGATCAAAAGGTGCTTTTTGAAAAACCCTGCCCTAACTTTTTCATTTCGCAGAGTGTTTGTGAACGTTACCTGATCTCATTTTCCTCTGGAGTAAAATTGTGCAGTGTGTTGGCTTTATAACATAAATATTGTCAGCATCATCTTGAATGCAAGAGAAAAGAAATTTATTGAGCCTGAGGATCCTGTTTAAAAAAACACACCTGGGGCAAATACTGTTTACCAGCAGTTCTTGGTACTTGCTGCAGTAAATAAAACTGCTCTGTTACTTGGAACAGAAAAGTGTTGCTCTAAAAAATTTATTTGAAAATTATTTGGCCCAGGTTTGGTGAAGCGAACTTTACCGATGAGTGTCCTCATTCACGGGAACCTTTAAAGACTCAGAGAAACCGAGGTTACATCTGTAACTTTGTCTTTCTTCTGATGTTGGCCAAAAGTGCAGTATACCATAAAGTATGTGAAATATATCCAAAAAAGTGAAAGTCAGTTTGTACATATGGTTTAACTGTCCTGTTACATTGTTGTACTGTATGTAGAACTTTATATGTGATTGTGTGGAGAAGATTTTTCTATTATTTATTGATTATTTTTATTAATTTTGTTGTGACCTGACCAAAATACTGCATCTGTCTGTTCTGTCCAAAACTGATGATGATAATGTGAAATGTTACAGAGGGAAATATATGTATAGGGATTAAAGATTGTATCATAAGCTATCTGAAAGTTGTGGCTTTCATCTTATATTGACAAATGACAACAAATTATTTAAATAGATATATCTTTTAATAGCTTTAATTGCATCTGTTGTACGCGTTTGAGCTCTAATGTCACAGGCAACAGAAGCAAAAGGAACTAAAACAATAATGAACTTAAAATGTACATCGTAATGAGGTAAAAGCATCGTGAATTGCCTCCGCTTGTCCTCCCTGAGCATGCTGTTAACACAAGCCTAAGTCCATGCAGATACAATCAAGTGCAGCCACAACAGCCACCATCAAATATTCAAACACCAAATAAAGATGCTTATAGTCTGGATCAGAGTCTTGATATCTGGAGCAATGAAAGCAACAGCTGTGAAGCTCTGTTGCCTGAAAAGCTGCCCTTTGTAACACCACTCTCAGCAACTCAAAGTGTCCATGTAGATTCAAAAACATGCTCAACTGGCAGCATGAAGGGAAGACTACAATAACTCTGATTAGAAGATTGTTTAGAAACAAGATAATCATTTTTAAATATTCTGGCTATTTTTTCTATGGGAAATTCATTGACATATCTCTGTGTTTTTAAGGTCTCTGACTGGCTGATCAGGAACTTTACAGAGGGAGTGCAGAACATTACAGGACTCTCCAGTCCCAAATCCTACATACAAATAGACTTTAAGATTAAAAAAACACTAGGCCTCTTCCTGTTTTTGTTTTCTGTCACACCTTTGTATAACAGTGCTGCTCTTAGTCCAAGGAACACCTGATTGGCTGGCCAGAGTCCCTGAAGGGACACAGTAGTATACGTACATTCAATCACAAATCCATGTGAAAGTTAAACTTATGGAGCTCAAATATCAACAGCAAAAATGACTGCAGATTGACTGAATGTGATGTCTTTATCGGGATAAGAAGCCCAAAGGCCCCGCTTTAGCTGGACTGCCTCTGAAGGTAAAAAGAAAAGTAAGACTCCAGACGCTATAACATGTTAATGAGAGAGCTTTAAATTGTTGGTAGGTGATTTGATGATCTTCTTATCAAACCCCTCTTAAGAGAGCGAATAAGCACATTTCCTGAAATGTTGAATTATATAAATGAACACTGGTTCTACCTGGTTCTTCAAGCAAACAAAATGCAATTCAATTTACATGTAATGCGACCAGTCACCCGTTAAACTTCTAATGCCTTTGTCCTCCAGAAAGAAACTTGGTACATAAAGCACAATATTTTCTAAATGAGGGCTCTGATATTAACATCCAGCAAATGAAATATGTTTGTATATCATTTCAGTATAGACAGTGTGAATGTCTGGATTCTCTGAGGTGACGGTCTCCCGGTGGTACTGCAGGTGGGTGGGGGCAACTGGCATGTGTTGAGTTGTTTACGGCCTGTCTGCAGGAAGAAGCAAAGCTTTAATGAGAATGAGGCAGTTTTTTCACTGCAATTTTAGAATCAAATGTAAACAATTTATATATAATATAGTGTAATAGCAGAGTTCACATACCAGGCAGTTTCAACAATAAAGTACTCACAGGGGTTTAGTTGTTGTGGGTGTAGATGCTTCCGGCTCTGACGGAGCTGCTGACAGGGGATGACAGTGGATGATGCCCTGGCCGGATGGGTTTCACTGAGAACCAAGAAAGCAAATGATTATTCACATTCAGTTGTTTTCATTGTCATCCGATACATTTGAACCAGTGGTGGCCCCCACCAGCACGCCACTGAGTGTTTTATAAGTCTTTATTTTAGATGTTGCCAGATAAGATGCTGATGTTAACAAGGAGGCTCTCAGGTAATCTTTCTGTAATTTATTAAACAAATCAGACAACAGCATAAGACAATACCAGTGTCTCAATCGAGAGGTCGCACACTCGGTGCAAAGAGTCAGTGAGTGACGAGAGAGAAGTTACAGCCACATTTTGTATAACATCAGTCAACTATCGTCCACTAGCTGGAACCAATCAGAAATGCGTCTTGTGGCCTTCATAGGTATCTCCTAGATAGGCAGCTGGGCAGACAGTTGGTCTGTGGAAACCAGGCTATGTGCATCAATAGAGACTGGGTCTGTGTGTGTGTGTGTAGACAGTCACTGCTCCCCAGACTTGGAGTATGTGACTGTCCAATGCAGGCCCATGTACCTCCCAATAGAGTATAATGTGGTCTTCATAACAAATGTGTACATACTGCCTGATGCCAATGCTAATTCAGCTATCAGACATTTATATGGAAGTATTAGCAGCCAGCAGAGCAGTTATCCTGATGCTGCGCACATCCTAGCAGGGGACTTCAATCATGCAGATTTAAAGAAAGTACTCCCCAAATTTGACCAGCATGTAAAATGTGCTACCAGAGGAGCTAACACACTGGACAAGGTTTATTCAAATATCAAGCTAGGCTATAAGGACAGACCACTACCACACCTGGGCCAGTCTGACCACTCGTCCCCTGTTTCTAATTCCTGCATATGCCCCCAGGAAAACTGCTCCTACCATCACAAGGACTGTAAAAACTTGGCCTGATGGTGCCTCTCAGCAGCTACAGGACTGTTTTTATAGGACCAACTAGGATGTACTTGAACATCCGGACCTGGAGGTGTTCACAGACAGTGTCCTGGGTTATATTAAGAACTGCATAGACACTGTTACTGTGCACAAACGCATCAGGGTCTACCACAACCAGAAGCCCTGGATGAACTGGGAGGTCAATCGGCTACTGAGAGAGAGGAATGCAGCCTCCAGGACAGGCGACAGGGCTCTCCATAGTGTGGCCTGAGCTAACCTGAAGACAGGCATCAGAAAGAACACCTCCTGGCTCTTCTGGTTGTAGTGGTCCAAATTGGACTACAGTGGGAGGAGGACCGAAGACCATCTGGACCTCAACACAGCAGGCAGGTGTGGCAGGGAGTCCAGCATCTTACCAACCACAGGAATAATCTTGGTGTGGTTGAAGGGGACGCCTCGCTGGCAGAGGCGCTGAACCTCTTTTTTGCCTGCTTTGAAGGGGAGTAACCAGACACAGCCAAACTGCACCCTGTGCCCACAGCGGCCCCACCCTCACAGTAGGGAAGTATGAGGTGAGGCGCACACTGTGGGCTGTAAACCTGAGGAAGGCTGGGCGTCCCCAGGCATGTGCTGAAGGACTGTGCGGACCAGCTGGCTTCACCAGGATCTTCAGCCAGTCTCTGGCCCAGTCCACTATCCCACCCTGCCTGAACTCCTCCATCCTAGTTCCCCTGCCTAAGAAACCCAACATAACCAGCCTCAATGACTACCGGCCAGCTGCACTCACTCCAGTGGTGATGAAGTGTTTTGACAAACTGGTACAGGGACACATTATGTCATTCCTCCCACCAACATCTGACCCACAACAATTTGCATACAGGGCAAATAGATCCACAGAGGACGGCATAGCCATAGCCCTCCACGCTGTGCTGTCTCACTTGGAGCATCAGGAGAGCTATGCACGGCTGCTTTTTGTGGATTATAGCTCCGCATTCAACACCTTCATCCCCCACAAACTGGTGGAGAAGCTGGTGGACCTGGGAATTCCATATTCCACCTGCATATCGATTAAGAGCTTCCTGTCCGGACGCAGCCAGAGGGTGAGAGTGGCCCCACACACATGCACAGCTCTCAGTCTCAGTACTGGTTCCCCACAAGGCTGTGTGCTGAGCCCCCTGCTCTACACCCTGTACACCCATGACTGCACCCCCGCCCACCACGGCAACACCATTGTAAAATTTGCTGATGACACTGCGGTGGCTTATCTCTGGGGGGGATGAGACTCCCTACAGGGATGAGGTGGAGAGGCTGATAGTGTGGTGCAGAGAGAGAACAATCTGCTCCTTAATACCTCAAAGACTAAGGAGGTCATTGTTAACTTCAGGAGGAAGAAAACCGACTTCTTCCCACTGTATATCAGTGGGGACCGTGTGGAGAGGGTGCTGGCCTTCCGCTTTCTGGGAGGATCTGACATGGGGTGTGAATACCTCTGGACTGCTTAAAAAGGCCCAGCAGAGACTGGACTTCCTACGGGTGCTCAGGAAGAACATCGGTGCGCCACTGAGAGCATCCTTACATACTGTGTATGGTACAGCAGCAGCACAGTGGCTCAGAGGAAACGCTCCAGAGGGTCATTAATACAGCCAGGAGATCGTCGGCTGCCCTCTCCTCACTCTGGAAGGACTACACAGGTCCTGCTGCCTCAGAACATTATTAAGGACACTTCACACCCAGGACATTCACTCATTGACCTGCTGCTTGTCATGCTGGAAGAGACCACTGCCATCAGGACAGAACTGTTTCCTTTACCCAACAGCAGTTACCACACTCAATGCTGCTACAATATAATATACATGTGTGTGTGAGGGCTGTTGCTTATTTAGTTTTTTAGTAGTTAAGGATTATCTTATCTTATCTTAAGTGTGTGTGTGTGTGTGTGTGTGTGTGTGTGTGTGTGTGTGTGGAGCCTAAATTTGGGAAAGCTGTCCAGTGGAAAAGGAAACAAGGTTAGACAGTACAAATACATAGATAATAGGAACACTGAGCATAGTGAGCAGATAGCATATGTGTGAATTTAACTTTTCCACTACAGTGATCAAATCCAAGGTGTTTTCCAGAAGATGAGAGGCGAGGCAGAGACACTTCGCCCTGCCTCAGTGCAACCCCCAAATGAGGACAGGCGGAGACACGAGATGCCCCGAGACAACTGTGAGAGAGGCCAGAGGAGATGGCTGCCTGCCCCCCCGACGAGATGCAGTGCCTGCCCAACATGACGCCCTGTCTGATGAGACACGCTGTCGCCACCCAACCAGACTCTCACCTGATGAGAGGACCCGAACCCACCTAACCAGACACCCCGCGGTCACATGACGAGACGCTCACCTGATGAGATGCCCTGCCACTAGACACGACGAAGCACCCTGCTGCCACCCTACCGGACGCCTACCTGATGAGACATCCTGCCATCACCTGACAAGACCCCTTGCCACTGCCACCCCACCATGCGCGCACCCACCCAATGCCCTGCCACCACTGAACCAGGCACCTGGACACCTAACCACACGTCTTTTTTTGGAATGTGAAAAAAAACCTCACCGATCTGAGCAGAATACCCTCTCCTGGCCATGTTCTTAGCCCGGACGGCCTCTTTGATGCGGTCCACCTCCTGCTGGTAGCGCTTGCGGTCCCTCATGGCGTTCTCCTTGGCCTCCTTCAGGGCGTTCTCTAGTGCTTTGACTCGCTCGGCCGTGGCGCGAAGACGCTTTTCCAACTTGGGCAGCTCACAGCGAAGATCTGCATTGTCTCGAACCAGCTGAGGACAGAGGTGGAAAATAATTTATTAGGCTACATGTACTGTGCTTACACGTTAATACAGTTTACTCTGACAGTAGCTGCTGTAGCTACTTCTTACTTTTCAGATAAACATTTTACATAAAAATATTATAAAACACAAGACTTCACCTACAACAGTCAATTCCTACTTATTCTTTGCCTTTAGTTAAATAATCTAGTCATGTAATAATAATAATATCACTTTTGAAATCAACGCTGAGAATACTTTCTTATTTTTATTTTGAATGCAGGGTATTTACTTGTGAGTTTTTAATTATTTGTTAGTTTCTACAAATATGGTGAAACTAAGACCAACATGCACTTTCTCATGTTGTGCATAGAATCTCATTATATATGTTAAAGTTTTGTACAGTACCGTACCTGCTTGTGGACCTTGGTGAGTTGCTCCAAGTTGTTCTCCAGGAAGGAGATCTTCTGTTTCTGGGCCACATGGCCAAGTCCCTCCTCACAGTCCAGCTCTGCACTCTAAAACCAGATGACAGGGTTAGTATCAGAATGGCATTTTCAGTAAAATAAATGTAAAGATGAAAAAACTGATGGACCTTCTTAACCCGAGTGGTGAGGTCCTGAACGAAAAGTTTGCGCAGGTTGTGCAGAGTCTGCAGCTCTTTGGCCTGAGAGGACATGAAGAAAGTGACTATGATGGTTAGAAACTACACATAACAGACATTAGACCCACGTCACCCCAACCATCCATCAACCACTGTAAGTCTTCTGGCTGTTGAGGCTTTCATGTTACTCCATGCATTTGAACAAAACACCACTAGGTAAGTATGTAATGAGTTCCTTTTTTGTCCATATACTGTATAAATGTGGACCAGCATTTTGTACTTCTTTATAAGTAATTCTGCCAGAAAACCTATTTCCTCACCACAGTCTCCTCCAGGCCCTTCAGGTCCTCTCTGGCCTGTTCCTGCTGTTCATCCAGCAGCCTGCACAGAAAACAAGACAAACCATACTGTATTGTATGATGCTGATTCGGTCTACATTGTGACAGTGTAGCTCCAGATGGGTGACTAATGAAAGGAGTGTCTTCATAGGTTGTTGGAACAACTTCAGTGCACCTTGGCACTGACTCTTCAAATCTGTGAACTCTACTGGAGGGATGAACACCCTTCTTCCAAAATATATTCCCTCATGTGGTGTTTTTATGATGGCGGTGGAGACGCTGTCACTCCAAAATCTCATAGGTGTTCAGCTGGGCTGAGATCTGGTGACCGTGAAGGCCACGCCATAAGATTAACATCATTTTCATGCTCATCAAACCGTTCAGTGACCTCTCATGCCTTATGGATGGTGGCACTGTCATGCTGGAAGAGACCACTGCCATCAGGACAGAACTGTTTCCTCACAGGATAAAGGTGATCACTCAGAAGGATTTTGTATTGATTTGCAGTGACCTCTCCCACTAAGGGAACCACTGAGGTCAAAACCCCACCAGCACCTGCACTTGTTATGTTTCTGCACTCATTTATTCGGTGTCTTCCTTTCACTTGTCACCCGTCTGTGGATGCGTTAACCAGTGCCTACATGAGCTTCTGTAGCTTTGCGTCCTTCTCCTGCTCTTCGGCCTTCAGTTTGTCGTAGTCTGACATAAGTCTCTCCTGCTCCAGTAACAGACCCTGGTTTAGACTGGGAGACAAAGACAAGTGGCAAAAAATAAAGAGCTGCCTGACCTCATCTGGTTATGGCCTTGTGAAACAATCGTGTTTCTACACAATTTATTTCAATGCCTCTAAAACTTTGACTAGTTTTTTGAAGAAATTAGAGTTTGAAGATGTCACTGAAGACTCTAGGAAATGAACAGGACTGCTTTTTTAAACTATTTTTCTAGCATGTTAAAGATAATTTGGAATCTGGTGCATATGTGACTGTGTGTGCTGACGTTTCCTCACTCTGTGAGTTCGTCAAGCATCCTCTGCTTGGCTTCAATCTCGTCTCGGAGGCGGCCGAGCTGCTTCTGATGAGCCTCCCTGTGGTTTTCCAGCTGCTCCTCCAGCGTTTTCTGTCAGATGTAGACAAAAGAACACATTAGAGACACACAGTCATTTAAATACCAAGAAGACATGTAGCAGTTTCCAGCTGTGAGCAGAGGTTTTTAAGGCCACCTTGATGCCTCCATCCAGTCTGCTGATGTCCTCCTTCTCCTCCCCTGACACCTCGTGTCTTTTCTCTGAGAACCAACAAAGAAGATAAGTTGTTTCAGATATCTGTTTTAATTGTCATCTGCATTGTATCGTTCTACCTGTGGGAAGATGTTGTATAAAGCCTTGAGTGTTATTATCACACAAAGCATTTCTTTATTCCTCCTGTTAGTGAAGCTAAGGTAAAATAAAGTGCCCAGTCTGGCTTGCAGGGCGGTGCTGACCCTGAGTCTGCAGTTTGGTGAGCTCCTCGGTCAGAGCGTCCTGAGTCTCCTCCAGCTGCCTCTTCTTCTGCTCCATATTCTGCATGTAGTCTGTCAGAGACTTGATCTTGGCCTGATGCTGCACACAGAAGTGGGTTTGTAATGAAGAACATTTTATCTTATCAGAGCTTTTGTTGAAGTAAGAGACGAGCTTGAATTTCAATTTTCGATTCAACAGCTGGTCATCTCAGGTTCAACTTGTTATTAATACCAAACAATATAAGTTGCAGTTTATACAGTGTAGCAAGAGAAAAGTTCAGTGGGATCAAAGAACCATAGGACTTCAACTTTACCATGTTATACTTTGTGTCCAAATGCAGGCTATCAGAGGCCCATGGTTACCTGGGAGATGAGCAGCTGACAGGACGCCAGCTCCTTCTCATTGGCCTGGATTTTGCGGTGAGCATCGGCTTGAGCACTCTCCAGTTGCTTGCTGCGGTTGACCAAAGACTTGACCTCTGACTTCATCTTGCTGATGTAAAGGCGAGCCACGGTGAACTCCTCCTCCACTGCCGAGCTGTTCCCTTTCGTCTCTGAGGACTGAGCAGGTGAGGCAGTGGGGATAGTTAAGGTTTGAGTGTGGGAGATTATGTGTGATTACGTGTGCACGTGTGTCCAGCCTCACCGCAGCTGCCTTGACATCGCTGGTCCCAATGATGGTGCCGATGTCACTCAGGTCTCGCAGCAGCAGGTTGAGGACCTCAGCTGCTCTTTTCCTCTGCAGGCTGTTGAGCTCCTGGAGCTGACTCAGCTCCTTCTGCACCATCGACAGCAACACCTGCCAACAACACACACATGTAAAGCTTTTTGTATTTTTCTGCACCAGTGCTCTCAAGGATGAAAATGCTCCAACTGACTTATGTTCTAGTTCCAGAAGCAGACAATGACTAAGCTTTAAAGTGCAACTTTAGATGCAACGTCTTCAGCCTTCTGGGAAACATAATCCTAGCCGCATTAAGCAATTTCAATATCATGATACAGGATAAATTTCATTCACCGTTTTGTGCTGCAGCTCCTCGGTCAGCTGCAGGTTGGCTTCATCTCTCTCCTCCATCTCCTGACTCTTCTGGTCATAGTTGACAGCCAGCTCCTCCAAGGCCTGCAGTACCTCCTTCACCTCCTCCTTGGCCAGCTCATTCTCCGTCTGCAGCCGGCACAGCTCCTCCTGGATCTTCTCATAGTCGCGCCGTGTTGAGGCCAGCAGCTGAGAGGATGTAGAGTGTTAATAAGAAAAGTTAGTATAGCTACACGCATAACATAAACTCACATGCATACAGATAGATGTACCATCTTATCAGAACTTTTAAAACTATTTCATTTTCACAGGCTTGGAGACAAACCTCTTCCTGGTCCAGCATCTGCTCCTTGAGTTTCTCAGCCAGTTGACTGTGTTGGTTGATCTCATCATCCTGTAGAAATATTAAATTAAGTTAGTAATTAACAATTTTCAAGCCTTTGCAGGTCTTTAGGCTTTTATGCAGCGTTGAGCTTATCTATAATGAAGTCACTGCAGGAATCTGACATATACACTCTTATATGCAGGATCACTGTAAAGGCCATTATTACATAAAAATACTCTGGGCCCCCATTTTATTTCACCAGATTTTTAGGATTTTATTGTTATCTTCTCTGTTGGATGATTATTTCAGACACCTCATCCAGTGAAAGTTATGCAAACCAGCATGTTTAGAAGCCAAAGTATAATGCATTAAGGTGACTTTCTGAAGTATGATCATAATAAAAACCATCATTCTAGAAAGATCAATAAGAAAAACTAATCAATAAATATAATTTGCCTTCTGTAAATGTATCCTTCTTTAATATTTTAAATAAATAAATTAGAGCATTTATGTGGCAGTTTTAATACAGTCTGCAATGAAAGAGGAACTTCCTGCTCCTCACTCACCTTGTCGTCCAGCTGTTTGTACAGGTTGCTGATGTCCTCCTCGTACTTGCCCTGCCCCTCGCTGGAGACCGAGATGCCTCCTCCTGCCGGCAGCAGGTTGTCGATGATGGGAGCGTTGTCGTACGGAATCACGCTCTTCTGATCTTTAGAGCTCAGCCGCTCGTCCTCAGGAACATTCTCTCCTGTAACATAGAGCAGTAAATTTTTACCTTTCAAATTAGTATCTGCCTCAACAATTGAGTACGTACCGGTCATCTTCTGGACTGACAGACTGTCACTCTGGCCAAAGAGTGGGTAATCAGTACTTCATAAAACTTGTCATACAGTATATACTCCATGGTTATGTATTATAAAGCCCAACTTGAAGTGTGTGTGCACAGCCTGTTAGCAGCAGTGTGAATTGTAATTCTGACCTTTCAGCCGAGGTTTGAAAGCTGCTTCCTTTAAATGGCTCGGCATGGAGCCAGCAGCTGACTCACTTTAGAAACACTGCATCAGCATAACTTATGTGTGCTCTGCTGTGTATGCACTGCTCTCTTTGTGTTCACTACATTTGTGTGCAAGGAGCATAGGTTTTAGAGGCTGCAGCTGAGCTGATTTGTTGCTAAGGGGCAGGAGTGTTTTCAGCATCTGCACGGGAACTGAAAATAAAGACAATGGCCAAAAAGAGAGAGAGGGTAGAGAGGGGGAGGGAGAGAGATATTCAAGCAAAGAGGGAAAGGGAGAGAGAAAGAGGTATGGTTTCAGTGGTTACTATGCAACAGAGATGGAGAAATGGGTGAACATGCCACAGCCTCAAAAGGAGGACAGAAAATCAAGCAGCATAATGTCCACGACAGTGTGCTTGAGTCTCATGTAGTTATGTGACATGATGTTTCAGGTGCAGTTAGGTATGACTTTGGCTCAACCTGGCCACAATATTAGTGAGAATTTGTAAATATAATCATGCCTCATTTGTTGAATCAAAGTTGAAACCATTCATAAGGGCTCTCAGTAGCTTTGAGCATGTATGTGACAGCCTTAAATCACAAAGCAGAGCTTGCAAGCTACACAACTGTCTGATCATGTGAGGATGACATAGCAGTTCTAATGCAACATGACTGTGTCAATTATAAGCCACCATCCAGAAATATTGAAATATTCTAAAATTCAAAGTATGGTGACAAATGAAAGGAAAAGGAAACGATGCTGAAGACAACTTGTAGTGAAGTGAAATTGTTGCAGAGGTGTACAGTGACCCCTCTCTAGAACAATATATTTTGCTTTTCCTTGACCCACTCGTATTTTCTCTCACCATTCCTCCAGCGGTTGAGTTCAGCCTCCAGCCTCTGGATGATGTTTTTCAGGCTCTTGTTCTTCTCCTTCTCCTTCTCATATTTCTTCTTCCACTCCTCGGCCGTCAGCTCCAGGTTCACTGACACTGTGTTCTTGATGGTCTTTGCTCTAAAGAGACACAGGCAGCATAGAGTGAAGTTTGTTTGGAAGTTGACAGATTATTTTAAAACCCTGGACACCCACAATCCAGCCACACAGCTGTGTGAATAGACTTCTTCTCGCACTCATTTTAGTGCATGCATGTTGGCACTGGCGTTTAGGTTAATAGGTACCTCTGTCCAAACATGAGTGTGGACTTGGTCTCAGCCTCATTGTAGACGGATGGTGAGCAGCAGATGATGATGGTGGTGCGACAGTTTCCTCCCAGAGAGTCCTGCAGGATCCGAGTCATCTTACTGTCTCTGTATGGCACGTGAGTTTTCTGAAAAATACATGTCTCTGTGTTGCTTTGTGTTTGTCTTAACCAATTCCTTATATACGGAAAGACACATTTCTGAGTGACATACTGTTCCCTCAGCCAGAGCTGAAATGACGTTTCCCAGCGCGGACAGAGATTTGTTGATATTCTTGGCTTCATCCAGCACTGCTCCCTCAGCTCCTGTTTTACTGACCTGTCCAAACAGCCCAACATTACAGCTTTTACATTCAAGGATTCAAGATTTTTATTTGCCATTTATGCATAAACAGACAGTCTAGGCATATAGGAATTCTTGTGCAGCTCTCCTTTGGAGTCAGGTAAGGAGTCAAAAGCCAGAAACAACACTTAGTCTTAAAATAAAAAAAGTTACATAAAGGCGACAAAGCATTAAAACCACAATACACAAAAAATTTACGTTAACTTGTTAAGTCATAAAGCCCAACAGAAAAAATCTTTAAAACCCTCTGGAGTTCTTCAGGGACAAATTTGTCCTGAGGGAAATCAGTATATAGTGTTTTTGAAGGTCCTCTGAGGGTTAAGGAGACATTAACTTTGTGATCACACTCAGGCTGACCTTCTCGCTACCCGCCAGGTCGACCAGGTAGAGCTTCCCCGACAGTTTCTTCTCAGTCTCAATGTTTTCCTGCTTGATGTTGATTAGGAAGATGCTGTGGCTGCGAGAGCTGTGTTCATTCATATCTAGAAGACGACAAGAAGAATTAGCTATTATTAACAGCTCCGCAGGCCCAGCAGGGCCAACGTGATGATAACGGTAGAAACCTTATGTTAAGCAGCTATAATGTTCCCCATGTTCACCACCTTAGGTTAGTTGAGTTAGCATGCTAACAGAGCATAACAGAAGCCGATGGGTGTGTCATTAGTTTTGCAGGTATGTGGTCAAAAACCAAGCACTGAACAAATCAGAGGTACATACTGGTCACCGCCACGTGCCGGTTGGCTTTCCCTTCATCAATGACGTCCATCACCTCCTCTGGGCTGGACACAAAACGCTCGGTACAACCCTGAGAGACGAAGTGAATGAAAAATGTTGTGTAGATCGTTTTAGATGTTTAACATCTGGATATTTTCACTATCCCATGCTGATGTCTTGACTCAACTAATGTGTTATAGCTCTCACTGTTTTTGCTGTTATTCTGTGGTCTAACCTGTTGTGAGGATAATTCATATGTTCCAGTTGTGATGCAAAGCACAGCTGTCTTAGCTGCTTTTATGGATTGTCAAAGTACTAATTCATCTATTTATTACGAGCATCATTTTTGTTGTGTTGGTATGTCAAAGATAATGTGGCTGTAGTCATCTACTCTCCTGCACAGTTCACCAACCTTGACGTAGGGCACTCTGTTCTTGTCTTCGTGCACAGCGAGGTTTGTCTTTGACACTATAAAACCAACAAAGATCACCAAAGTCACTTCATGCCGTTTCTAAAAAAGGCTTTTAGTAAAACAAATTTATCATGTAAGATATCCCAGTCACTTAAATTCACCTTAAATGCGGTCTTATAGTACTTACCATCCAGCAGGTCTCTGATCTTGTCCAAGTATATTTCAAAATAAGAGACCTGCAAAGAGAAGTACATGGACACCAGAGGTTGGTAACTGACTGACTGATCCATGTTTTATTTCATATAAAACTTGACAACACTGAACAAAATTCAGGTTTTTGCCCTGTTCTTTCAGCTGTTTGTTACAATATATTTGAGAAAGTCACAGTTTAACAGGAAGTTCACCTTCATTGCAAAGAACGGTTGATTAAATCATGCTGATAAGCATCCTCTGGGGATTCTTACCAGCTGATGATTTACTTATTTATATCCAGTTATGAATCATTACTACAGACACTGCAGCTTTGCATGTTTAATTACATTGTTTTCTACATTGTGACAAAAGTTTTTTACCTTGATGTGAAACTCTAGATTCTCATCCATGGAGTAGATGTGGTCAAAGATGTCGTGTGCGATGCGAGGGATGATTCCCATCAGCTGGGGGTCGTGCAGCTTGCCCTGAACACAGCAACAGGTATTAACCTTTTAATATAAAATGTTCATTTTCAAGTAAGAGTTGATGTAAGGATGGAGCTATCGACTGTGTGAAAAGATGTCAGATGTTGAAGGTGAACATCAGGGTTAGAACTTGATGTGAAGACAGGGGATTTGAGGTTTTCTATCACAGACTTACAACGAAGAATTAAAAAGAGGCTGCTGTCTGTGTTGATCAGTCTGCTAGCTGAACTCATTTCCAACTGAATGATGCAGGATGCTGATCTGTGCATCTCACTAAAACAAAAACTGCCTGGTCACAATGAACTTGGACACCTGTGCCTGGCTGTTTGCAGTAAACGAGCCTCCCTGGACTAAGATGGACAGTCTCTGCTATCAGACTTGCAATTCCTCGAATCTCAAACGTTGTAGGAACTGAAGTGGATTAAGTGTTTGGAGTTAATATGTTACACAATCCTCTGACTGCAGATGGAAGCCGTGGCTCTGGGAATGACAGTAAAAATTCAATAAGGATACAGGAGTATAGTAACTGCTGTATCAGTAATCTCAACGTCTGTCTTAAAATACTACTGATGATAGACTTGTGTGTTTTTCAGATACTGAATCAGTAATTCCATGTTATAAAAATATTTTTCAGAGACCTCCATGGTGTGTGTCTTCCCAGAGGATGTCTGTCCATAGGCGAAGATGGTCCCGTTGTAACCGCCCAGCACATCTGGAGTGATACAAAACACAAGTAAGGAAATGATAACATATATTTGTTCAGAGCTTACTACAAGACAGCACATCCCTTTGACAGCAAATGTGTATAAACCTTTATTTATACATGTGGAATATCTTTTAATATTAATACTACTACAACTAATATTTCTATCACTGCTGCTCAGATAAGATAGCGTTAAATGAACCTGCAAATACAATCAATGAAAACAAGTTCAATAACATAAAATAAAAAAACATTGTACTATGACTAATACAACTTATAGTCATGGTCTTAGAGTGTGAAAAGACATTTGTACAGCTCCATTATGTACAATAAGAATAAACAGAGAGGAGAGGATAGGAACTGAAAAGCACTTTCCCTGTTCATACCATTAACGATCTGTTTGGCACATTGGTCGTACACTTGTTCCTGTGAGGTGTTGGGAGGCAGCACACGGTCGAAGATGAAGGGTTTGCCCTGTGTCATGCCAACGCAGGACAAGTTAGTAACAACTGAATAATGACAGTACTCGAGTAAAATCACATTCCACTACTGTGCACACATATCATACATTTGAGATATTTATCATCTAGCTATTCTAGATTTAATATCCCTATTTAAATGAATACTGCATGCCACTGGTGCATGACTGCAATAGCTGAACCTGTAACAGATCAGACTGCCACACAGAAAACAGGCTTACTGCTGTGAAACGAAGCTCTCAGCACTCTTTCTCTGTCTGTCTGAGGCCCCAAAAAGAAGCAGAGAAATCACTGACACGCACAGTATCAGTAAGGACGACCTGAGTCCAGGGCCTCAGTGACATGTTTCTGGCCATTAATGCAACAGCATGAACAAAGCTGGGTGACGGATCTGCATCAGCACACATGGCAAAGGTTTCTTTCCTGTTTGTTTATGTCTGATCATATACAAACTCCTAAGTACATTGGGCCGTTTTTACAGATCATATGCAAGTCTTGTAAAAACCACTGGCCCACCGTCAGGTTCTTATATCGTCTGAAATAGCTGTTGTTGCAGCCTAATATTCACCAAGAATCAGCTTACTGAGCACTTGGCATCCCGAGCCTGCCTGCAGAGGTCTGGGTGACATTCTTGCTCTACTGCAGTGTTTGTGTTTTCAGTTTCACACAAATAAACGGCATCAACAATAACAACAACAAGCGACCAGACTTGCCTGTATGACCACGGTGTCGTCCTCTTTGAATTTGGGGATGTATTTGTCTCCTCTGTTGATTTCGGACTCGTTCAGAGGCCTGAAGCGGCACATCACTCTCACCCCGCACTCCGCTGCATCTACCATGGCTGCACTGTCCTTGCAAATAATGCCGCTATAAACAAACTAAGAAGCAACACGCTGGGAGACAGGCGAGGGCCAGTCTGGTTCAGGCAGCGTGCTGCCCACAGGGAGCTTTAGGGACCTCCAGTCGGACCTTAGTGCTTGTCTCTGCGTCACGGACCAAGTCGGAGCTCGGAATTCGAGGCTCAAATCATTATTGGCAAACACAAAGCGTCGAACTTCCTGGTTTACGCACCGCGAGAAAATTTGAAAACGTCCTTCATGCGAGCCGAGAACCTTTGGGTTTCCTCATCTGCGCCACGGATGATCAGCCGCAGCGCTGCGTCCCGGTGAGGGGCTCAGGTCTGTGTTGGTAAGAGCGACAACCTACGGAAAGGCCGACTGAGCAGTGTTGTTTGTTAACGGTGCTGCCCAGTTTGCAGAGGGACAGCCCGGAGAGGATGTGCAGAGCAAGCCGCATCGTCCTCTCTTCCAATAAAAACATGCCCGCCTGCTGCGCGCTCCCGTGCCCTGCATCAGCACCGATGTCGCGGACACTGAGCTGCTCGCGTGAACGCACACACGAGACACAAAAATGCAAGTCCGAGCCAAGTTCGAAGTGTCTGTTTGCCACGCCTCGATGTGTTGATACAAATGTAGGCTATATGCATTGAGGGGTGTGCAGTTTTTGGCACTGCTCTGTTGTGTTAAAGCCTAGTGACAGGTGTTTTTATCTGTCCCTCTTATTTATGTCAGTGATGCTTTCTGATGCAGCACCACACACTCCATCCTTAGAAATGAATCAACACTTCTGGGCCGCAGTGCTTCCATCTGGTGGTGACTGTATTTTAAATGTTTGCTTTTTGAGTTTGGGTCTTTTGAGTTTAGAGTAAACCCAGTTGAATCCAGAGCAGAACGTTTGTAAGTATGAATACGTGTTGATTTGAGGTGAAAGCTGCTTAAGAAGAAGACTTCGGATTATAGGAGCGATACCAGCGCTGCCCAGCTTCTCCCTCCACGGTCCCAGTGAGTTAGACTGAAGGAGAGAAGATACTAATGTTTTCCACAGGTCTGGATCGTGTAAGGTTATTCTTGAGTTTGGGACAGGAGTTGGACAGCATCATTTTAACACTTAATACCATTAATACCATTTCCTCAGAAACCCACTGACTGCATATACAGTTCATTCTTAAATGGAGCCACCTAAAAGTTACAGCCTGTCATGTTTAAAGAGACAAAAGGTGCTGTACATTTTACATCATCTCATGTTCATCGGCTCCTGCTTCGTTTATAGGCTAATGTGTATAAATGTTTAAAACATTCCCCTCCACACCCAGAAGATGCTGTATCCCTTAAACCTGGAAAAGCAAGGTGTAGTTTTCTATTGCAGGTGCACTGAGATGCACACTGGAACGTAGTGTGTATTATGACTGTATGGTAAATTTAACTCTGCTCTGTTCATCCAGGTGAGATGAAGACCGTACAGAGGCAGGCCAGCAGAAACCGTGCAGTTCAGGTGGGGTCATCCTTGGTCAAGCCATTTAGTGGTGGAGCTGACGGGAGTGGTGAGGCACGAAGATCACAGAGTGCACACACGGGTAAAAATATGAATGCTATTGTTGATTTGTGGTGTTGCATTTTCTGATATCTGATCTGCTAATCAGCTAATCTCTTCCTAAACATGATTTAGATATATGAAGTGCACTGGAGTCCACTTAGTGATGAGTTCTAGAAAGTGATGCGCTTTGTTCTGATGAGGGTGGAAAAACTGAAGTGAGCTAACTGGTGTTTAACATGCATAGCTGCTCCATGATGAAATGTTAAAACTGTAACACTGAGCTAAGATGCAGCTGCGAAACAGCTGACATCTTTCTGGGGTGGATGACTGCACCGTCACAGCCTCATGGGGATAATATTTGTGAAAGCAGGATTTTAGTTAAGACTACACTCACCCGGTTCCAGCCCCCCGCGACCTTTTGGCTCAGTGAAGCAGACGTGGATGGACTGTGCTATAAGGAGGTCGGCGGAATAAGGGGTATAGATAATGGATGGACTACACTCACTTATGAAGTTGGGAATTATAATAGTATTTTACCAAGAAACTGGGTTTTAACTAGGTTAATATTATCAAGACATAACATTACACATTCCAGTACAGTAGATGTGCTGCTCAGGGGGATTTGTTGGGTTGTTCTCAATAATAATAATAATGTCTAGACCTTACTTTATAAAGTGCTCTGAGATGACCTTTGTCTGATTTGGCACTATACAAATAAAACTGAATTGAAAACTACAAACTTCCAGATAATATACATTTCCAAAATGTAAAACATTTAGAATGTAAATTTTTCCAGCCATTTCCTTACCTCAGATATAATGAACATTTCTTCACATTACACAACATTGTTGTAGCCATGTTTTTGCTTCCACAATTCTTCTGCAGTTTGTCAACAGATTGAGATCTTGAGTTGATGTCATTGGTATTGTGCCAAACAGGTGAACACAGGTGTTCATGTATGAACATAAAGCACCACAGAGTAAACACTGTCTAATAGAAACTCCAAAAACTTTCTCACAGGTCTCTATTAAAAGTGTATCGTTTTAGTATCATGGCAAAAACTTTCATTCACAAGTCATGATTTATTTATACAGTCAGGATATGGCAGGTGAAAGTGAGTTCTTATTCTCTGGATTTTATGTGGATGAATGTGTTGGCTACTATCATAACTTATTCTCATTAGACTGTTCTCCTTCTCATTAATATCCAGGATTATTAAAAACACCACTTTTGTTGGCCAGGAAAGAGTTCCCAGACACTGGGTGTTAACAACATTGGTTCAACAAGCTCCAGCTTTTTGGCTTTCCTTTTTGAGATCGATATAGGAACTTTATCTACAAGCTGGAGTTAGGAAAGGCTTAAGACCTTTGCTCAACAAATCCACATAGCATTATGTAAAGCTGGCAGTTTAAGATGTCTGACCCTCTGCTGTGCTGAAGTCTGTATTCCACTGAAGAAGTAGAAGCTACTCAGCTTTGCTCACTGTCACCGATTCCCACAAAATGTTAGGTTTTATCATAGACCGTAGGAAAAAATAGATGATGTGACAGTTCCCAGAAGTGAAGCCACTGTAAGTCAATCTCCCCCTGGTGGCTGGTTGCAATATAGGTCAGAAACCCCACCCCCTCCATGTTAGTGGACATGAGCTGAAATATATCATTCAAAGTACAAATCTAATTAGTTTTTACCAAAGGTGATTTCTGTCATTTTGGGTTGATATTATTACACTGATCTGAGTACAAGTGGTCATTTTTCTGATATTTGTTTTTACCAAGCTATTTGGTTAAATGGGGTGCATTTTGGATGACTGACAGCTTTGATTGGTGGCCTAATACTGCAGCTCTGCATTGGGTACTACTGTGCAGAATCTGGTTGCAAGCTGCATCACAAGCAAGATGGCTGCCAACATGTTGGCGATATTTTTGCTTAAATTTTGTATGGAGGCAGGAAGTGGTGAGGCATCTATATTTCAAACTCTTTTTCATTCACATTGTTACACATTATTTTGCCAAGCCATCAGTAGCTCCTGCACGCCGAGTTACATGGAGGTGCTCGTATAACTGTGACTATAGCAGCAGCTGACAACGTCAGTCCCTATGTGGTCATTGAAACTGAAGTGATACGAACTATGTTTTACTGCCCATCTACATAGATACTGTTTAGTCTGAATTAAGTTATCAGAACCAAAGTTGTCAGTCACATTCACAAATTCATGCCCACTGAAGAAACACTTCTTTTTTTTAATAATTACAATTTTGACCCAGTAAGGACACAGGTGAAAACTAAACACCAAGGATATTTATTTAAAAAAAAAAATCAAACAATCTTAAAGAATAACACAAAGTTGTGTTAAAGAGCACCACTGTTCCACTGTTAGGGGTAGGGTCAGGGTTAGGCCTCCTCTGTACTCAGTTGCTGATCAGCTGGCTGGACATCTATTGTTTGTCTGCTACTGCAGTGGGCAGGACCAGCGCTCTCTCTGCTGGAGAGTCTGTTCAGTCTGTCTCTGAGGTAGAGTGGCCATCCTCTGCTGCTGTCGTTGCTTGGGGAGCTTCCATCATCAGGACTATCATAGTAGATGGCTCCTCTATCACACCTGGCTGGGAGGTTGATGGCTCCACCACTGGCACCTGCATGGATGTCACACACTGCTATTTGGTCTGTCGAGTGCCCTCCTCTGGTTTAGATGTAGATACTGTGTAAAACTTTGAGGAAAGACTATGAAACAAACAATATTCAAAATTATATTTTTGACCAAAGCCAGCCACTTTAAGTTAGGGGAGGTCAGTGGAGGAG